TCTCTTCTTCGTCGCGTGAGTAATCCGCCGAAGGCAGGGCGGCGGTACCTAGGTTGCTCCGAGGACGGGAGCAGCACGGACCCTGACACGCCTGATTGCGGCCTCAGCCGCTTCCACTCCAGATGACGTCGCACGCGAACTCCGCTCTCTGACAGCCTGACGCTACCAGGTTTCACGTCGCAAGTAACTTTAGGTCGCCAAATGACCAGCGAGAACGCACACATCGAATGAGAACGAGGCATGCTCTCATGGAGAAATATCTGCAAAAACTCGGAGGATTCAAAATCTCGCCGCGTCTTGGGAAACGGGCCGAAACTGAGCACACGCCCACGTCCTACCAAGGAGAAATAAGACGCCAAGAGATCTTTGTACACGCTGCATAACACAATAAGAAGCTCTAGAATTTTTTTAGAATACCTACCTTATATTTTATATAGTAGACTCTTTTCTGTATAACAAAAATATCTTAAGAGCTTGTTGTTGTAGCGTTGTAGGATTGTAAAGTTGTAAGTCGCTTAGAAAGTGTCGTATTTTTCCCTGATACGACGTGCGCCCATGGCCCAAATGAACCGAGGTGCTTAGCAGTCGAGGCCTCCCCTATATTTTGGAATCAGTACTAGTCTCCCGCCGAACCTCGTCCGCGATCAGTAACCGGTTCAATCTTCACGCCGAAGGGGTGTATATTGCACCGCAGCTTCTAGAAGAGAAGTACATGTATATTAGAACGCGCGAGCTGGAGAATAGCAGAATAGCAACATCGTTACCAAAAACATAACCGTCAAAACTGCACGAGGGCACAAAACCAGCGTTGAGGCTAACCAGACACCTACACAACATTTGGAGTTCAAGAACACACCATTCGGCACCAACCCACACGAAAATCAATAACCAGGTTCCAAGATGCAGAACAATCGTCAACTAAGCGATCCGGTGACATTGCCATCCGGTCTTGTGTTCAGGAACAGGCTGCTCAAGGTAGACAACGAAGAAAACAAACGCAGTGCAACCATGTTCCTAACACACCCATAGGCAGCGATGGCAGAAACCATGTCAAAGTCTCATGACCCAACAGAGACCCTTATGTCGGCCTACAAAGCATGGGGAAAGGGAGGATGGGGCGGAATCATAACGGGTACAGTAGAGCTCTCACCAACTGATCTTTTTCAAGACTAACATGCAAAGGCAACGTGATGATCGATGAGCGCTGGCTCGGAAACGCCCTCGATGTCTCTCTCACACCCAGCACTAACCCCGAACTCATTGCTCAATGGCGCAGATATGCAGAAGCATGCCGTGTCGAAGGTACCCCAGCGATCGTCCAGCTTAACCATCCCGGCCGCCAAAGTCCTCTTGGAGCAGGTTCAAAAGGGCTATTCGAGAAGAACATCGCCCCAAGCCCCATCGCACTACAATTCGAAGACAACATCTGGGCGAAGACGGCGCAAAAGCTCATCTTCGGCACTCCGCGAGAGATGACAGTCGCAGAAATCGAAGACGTGGTGAAAAGACATGCCGACGCAGCCAAGTTCCTCAGCGAAGCTGGTTTCGACGGCGTAGAACTGCACGCTGCACACGGATACCTTCTCAACATCTTCATGTCCCCGAAGACCAACCAACGGCAAGACAACTACGGCGGCTCAGCGTTCAAGCGCGCCCGCGTCGTTCTCGACATCATTAATGCTATCCGCGCTGTCGTCCCGTCTACTTTTACAGTCGGCATCAAGCTCAACTCCGCTGACGTCCAACATTCCAGCGATATGGAAGACGTTATGCAACAGATCGGTTACCTCAGAGATACCGGTATCGACTTCCTCGAGATCAGCGGTGGATCGTACGAGAACCCTAGGATGATGAAGGGCGACGAGCCACAGCCTGGCGAGAAGAAGGTGTCTGAGCGTACCGCGAAGCGCGAGGCTTTCTTCCTTGATTTTGCGAGGGTGGTCAGGCAGAAGTTCCCGGATGTGGTCTTGATGGTTACGGGCGGTTTCCGCAGCTTGACGGGTATGCGTGCCGCGCTGGAGGAGAATGCTTGTGATCTGATCGGTTTGGCGCGACCAGCTGCTGTGGACTCGAGTTTTGCGAAGAAAGTCTTGGAGGCAGAGGCTGCGGGTGGTGATGTCAGTTTGAGGTTGGATGCTGTGAAGCCGAGCTGGTTGGTCAGCAAGATTCCAGTCAAGGCTTTGGGTGCTGGTGCTGAGAGTGTAAGTTTGGTCCCCCGAGAAGTGAAAATGTTGGTGCTGACGAGATGCTAGGCTTTCTACGGCGCTCAGATCGAGCGAATCGGTAAGGGGCTGCCAACAAAGACGCCTCCTACCACTGCATGAGATGAATCTGGAAGATCTGTGTCGCTTTTATAATATCTCAAACTCTCTAATGTGGTCAGCCATCGTTTTATACTCAGGAGTTAAACAATAGATTTCCGGGCATTATACCAATCCAATCAAGCTTCTACACGTTGTAAAACCTGTCCTGGAATCTTCCTGGTTGAGCAAATGCCATACTGCTGATGATCTCATGCGTTAACTAGAGGATTGGTTAACTGTCAACACATCGTCAAAAGAAGCGTGATCTAGATACTTTACAATCCGAGAGCTTTCGTGTAGGAGTTGCTGCCACCTTATGCGTCAAGAAAAATGCGGCGACGTCTAGTTCCATCTCCTGCGGATCGCTGTAGATGAGAAGCAGCCCAAGGTGCCCGACTGTGCCGCCTCATCACAGCCCAGAGCTCCACCAATAAGAGCCTCGGATCAGGTACAAGTTTCCAGTAAAATATGCGTTCGACGGATATCTCAAACCTACCGGATGCGGTATACTGAACTTGACCAATGAACGGTTTCCTTCTGGTACCAGTTTCCAGTAATGGGCCGCCTGTTGCAGCATTCAACGGATGTTTAGGTCCTGCCTGATGGAGGATGTTGACAGTAGCCAATGGGCTCGCAGTTTGGAGGGCCGAGTTGCTTCCATGCAGTCTTCGATGGATCTCAAAAGTTGCCTTATTTGGGTGACTGCGCTCAGCCAATGAGGATGCGTTTTATGTACCTAGTTTAAGGTTTTTGGCCGCTGTGCACCTGGATCGGAGAGTGCTTTAGTTTTCGATGGTTTTTGAGAACTTCCGGATGCGGCAGGTTGAGCTCGGACCACCACTGAGCCGCGGCGATCCCAAAAGATTTGGGACTTGCACGGCGGGCTGCATCAACGTGCCATTCACGTCTTTCTTGTTGTTCACAACTCGCTGCTTCTGTGCGGCGCCTCCGTCCATGTCTATATGCTCTAATTCGGTGCGAGCATTGTCGCGCTCTCGAGTTTCGCCAAGCAAAACGCTCCTTCCGTTCCTGTACCAGACACCCACGATCCAGCAATGGCAGTCCGCCACACGACCAGTTGCTCGCCGCGATATTCACACGCCTTCGCGCCCGTACGTTAGCGACGACATTCCCTTCGAAGACGATGCAGATCTACCGCCTGTTGTCGATCAACACCCTCCCCGAAAGACTACTATATCTCGCACCGAGCGGGCCGTGTTCCAGAAGTTGTACAGGAAGTTTGATAATGAAGGGCGCCAACAGAAGAAGAAAGACCCTTTGGTAGATGTCGACGACGTGTTCGAAGAGTTCCAGAAAAATACAGAAGATATCCCGAGTACAGAAGATATCCCGAGACCCACGCTAGACAAGGTTTTCGACGAAGTGCTGAGAGGCGAACCGCGATTGCGCGAATTGCGTACGCAGAGAACGAGGGCTCGATCTAACAAGCAAGATGCTGCAGGTGCAGAAGTGGGCAAAGCGCAGAGTAGCAAGAAGAAGGGCTCGAGTGTGGAGGCAGCAAAGCTCCGAGAATTGCGTCTAGCGGAACAAGAACGGATCGATAGCCTCATACGCAACGCACCCACCGATCGCGCCCTCTGGCAAACCCTCGAGCGCGAAGTCTTTGCCAAAGTACGCGACCTAGATCTCGACAACGCCGGCGGCAGCCCCACGAAAGAGCCAACCGCCAAACCCAGCAACAACGCATCGAAGAAGTCATCAGAAGCAAAAGCCGCTCACAAACCCTCTCCACCCTCCACCGACGCACGCATCCTCTTCCACAACTACCCCTATCACCTCATAACCGCCGTCACCACCCTACGCACCGAATTTCCTTCCTCCCCCCTTCCCTTCTCCATTCTCCCCACGATCAAAAAGCTCGGCCGCTCCTCGCACGCCCTCGGCGCAACAACAACGCTCTACAAGCACCTGATCCGGACGGCGTGGATCCAGCAAGCCTCCTATATAACCATCAACATGCTGCTCAAAGAAATGGACGACAACGCCATCGACTTCGACGCCGACATCCTCGGCCTCCTCGACGCAATGATCAAAGAACACAATCAGGCGAGGAGTGGTGGGCTGGGCAAAGAGATGGCCATGTTGTATGGCATGGAGATGTTTGCTGATGGCCTTACCAAGATTAATACGTGGAGGAATGTGGTGGCGGAGAGATTGGGTTTGAAGAGTGAGGAGAAGAGGGCGAGTAGCTCGCTTGTTAGGAAGACGAATAAGAGGTCGGATGATCCGAACTGGAAGGGGCGGAGTGGGTGGTGGAAGAAGGATGGTAGTGCACAGGAACCTGGGCCACGCGAGAAGGCTGGCGCTCAGGATTATATGCCGCTTGTTGAAGGCGTTAATTCGGGCGTTGGTGGGTCTTTTCCGGAGATGACATCTGCAAAGGGCGGCGAGCAGGTCGTTCCGTCTGAAGACGCGGTTCCAGTGAGTGAGGAGACCGCTGCTGAACAGCCAAAGGAGGACGAGCCCACCGATGATAAACGTGCAGAAGTCTTAGTGTAGCACCATCATGTATAATACATTGTATTGTCACCCCAGACCCATATATTCACTCCGCAGACAGGACGTATCCTTACTTGCCATAATGACCAAGGCCACCATAACTCATTTCAACAGGGTCTGTAATTATAGCTACACTCCACGTCAATTCGACCTGTACACCAATGAAGTTTCCAATATCTACATGGGATTGGTCCAAACTGGCCTGTTGTTTGTCCAGTCAGCCTGCAGGGCATCAATCTTCTCAATAAGCCCCTTGAGAATGAGTGCATCAGGTGTCCCCCTCTCCGCTGCCTCTCTCTGCGCAACCGAGGTATATCCATCCACCAACTTGTCCAAGTATAAATCTACCAATCTGAAGCTGTTTGTAATAGCCGCCGCATTCTGAGTACGCATATACGTATTCCACTTTGTCTGCAGATCCAGACTTCGCCAAGTGACCTGCCGACCGTTGATGGTCTTTGTGATTTGCGGCAGGTAAATCGTTTCGAGGTCGTTGAACATTTGACCGACCCGGTCTTTCTGGGCAACCAGCGTTTGGCTGATGAAAGGATCAATGTGGTAGCGGATGGCAGCGATGGTGTCTTTGACGTATTTGAAGAGCTTTGTACCGTCGCCCGTATAGGTATCGAGCGTATCGGAATTGCGTGCGTCACTGACGCCCCAAAGACCTTCTTTGAGGTTGTTGACTTCACCGTCGAGAAGAACGAGCTCGTTGCTCCATTGGTTGGTATGGCTGGGGAAGACAGCGCCAACCCAATCGATGGCGGACTTGGTCACACCGTTGATAGTGATTCTTTCTGCAACTCTGATGTCGTACCAGAAGCTTTGAACGCACTTGCAAAAGTTGGTACTTGCTTGTGGGTTGTAACAGTTGACCTTGGTCAAAGCACTAGACTTTGTCGGCTTGGCGAACTTTTCGAAGAAGTTTTTGACCATTTGGAATTCCAAGATATGCTCTGTGGCGAAGCGTCCTGTGTTACCGGCAGTGGGCGTTGCAATCTGACCGAAACCCATGTCAAGACAGTCGTTGTAGTTGTTGTAGCCATACGTCGGTATATTTGGGAGTACCTGTGCAGGTGAACGTCAGCGAGGTCAACTTATAATTGCAACGGTTCGCCAAGGAAGTATAGTCTACAAAGCCCAACCTTGAAGACTCATGTAAGGTGACTTACGGTCAATATGGTACCAGAGGTGTGGAAGTCAGCGCTAACGATGACCATCTTGCCACCGAGTTTATCGGCGCAGAACTCCTGGGTTTTGCGATCTAAACTTCGTGCAAAGACATGATTGAGGGTCAAATCGCCAGACGCACGCTTTTCCAGAGAGCTACTACCGTCCACCACATGTGAAAGCTCTGAACACGCAGAACCTTGGTTATCGGGGCTTCCTCCAGGGCTGGGGCACAGCAGGTCCTGTAGGGGAATGTGGAATGGGGGACCCCAGGGTGTGACGCGTTTGCCAAATCGATGTACCGCTGTGGCATTGTCCGCAATTCCCGAGTGCTCATAAGGGTGGTAAAGAGGATGAGTACCGTCGATCGACGTGAAACCACGCTTAGTAGGCGCGCCTGATTGAAGGTCGGGACATTGGCCACCCTCAGGAAGACCGACCTCACCAGATCCTGGGAGATCCCACGTCTTGGTGCCCCAACCGAATGCTGCCGGAGTACTGACCTGCGCATATAACTTTGCGCCCACGTAGAAGCCATATGTCCATGGACATGAAGCTTCGGTGCTCTTACCAGCTCCAACCTCCATGCGAACATAGCCATCAGCAACAACTCCGGCCGTTGCGGCTCCAACCTTCCAGCTGTCATCAAAGCGAATACCAAACTCTGCGATGGCCTTGAGGTGGGCTTCAGCCTGACCTGAAGCTAGAACAGAAGCGTAGAATTGAGGTTCCAACAGGCCGTTTTTGTCGCCCGTCTCTCCAGAATCCAGTTCCTTGTCAGCCTGAGGCTCGTACTCCTCGGAGGCGGCTGGATAAGTTTGCCTGACGTCCCATTCCGCAAGATCGATCTTGGTTTCTATCTCCGCAGATAGTGTGAGGCCAGCGTTGAACTCGCCAACCACGCGGACAGAGGGACCGATAGTGACAATGCCAGGGACTCGGAATGTTGCGCCTGGGAAGGGAAGGGTAAGAATTGTCTTTTCTCCCGACTCGTACGAAACCTTGATCATGGCTTCGAGAGTGAATACCGCAGTGACCTTACCACTGTTGCTGAACGTAAGGTACGACTGGCTCAGGTCAAGAGAGCCGCCTGGATTATCGAAATTGAGCTTCGTGATGAGGGTGAAACCAAAACTGGTGGAGATTTCGACATCTGTGAGAGCCTGAACCAAGACATGGGCATTGAATTTGGCCGGTCCTGTGCCACACTCGACTTTGTCGTCAATGATTTTGGCGATGAATTGCTCATTCACGTCATGTGTGAACTCTTTCTCGATCTTGGGGCTGACCAAGTTCGTGAGCCAAGCAAGCACGTCGGATCCGAACCATCGCTTGTGAAGCTCTTCATGACTAAGAGCACCACCGTGATAGTCGTCTCGCCACTCCTCTTCAAGCCATCTCTTATGATTGCCGTCAAAGTCAGACAAGGAGCGTTTAGATTTACGCTTTGTGCTCGCAGCTGCGACAACGTTGTCCCAGTAGTCGTTCTTGTTGGAAAAGTCTATCCTCATCTGTGTATCACCAGAATCGCGAGGAACGCGCCTGAAGTTGTAGTCGAAGGTCAGATCATAGACCATTGGCATATGTGACGCTCGCTTCCGAAGATGGTGCGGAATCGTTTGATTGACAGCAGGGACCATGTGTTTCGCGACGGCATAGCGACCGGCTCCACAGCCAGCTGGCGTTTCCAGGATGGTACCGGGTACGCCGTGTCCAAGTCCGATGTTTTGACAATTGTTGTTCTCTGAGCCGTCAATGCAGAACATCTGGATGGTTTGCTCTTCTTCACTCGGCCCGCCTTGGCAGTTGAACAGTTCCCAATGAGAGCCATCGCGTTTATCGAGAGAATGTTGCAGTTCTTTAGGCGATGCAAGCACGACAAATTGAAATGCAGCATTGGAAGGGTCATCGTCGGTCTTGTCGCCCTGTCCACCAAAGGTGTCGTCCACATTGAGCTCAAAGTCCGTATCGACGTCGTCCCCAGTCGGTGGATCGCTAAATAGCCGATCCAGTGGTACCGGAAGGAACAGTTGTTTACCATCGGATGGGTCGCAACAGTAGACTCTGTTTCTTTCCAGACGAGGGAAGCAGGATTGCCCAAAACCATATGGGCTGTCCGTGAGTTGCACTTGCTTTCCGACCGGGCAATGGTTGTCGAAGCAAGATCCTGGCTCTCCGTACCACCTGCAGTTCTTCCAGTTTTTGGCGTCTTTCTTCGGGCAGCAGTATCGTTTCTGCATATCGACGTCAATCGCTTCGAGCCAATCAACCAGAGCATTATCGATCAAAGTCATCGCGTCCGCAATGTCGGCGATTGTACTCAGAAATGTGCCTGAAAAGGTCATTGTCGTGTCGTCGCCGTTGCAATCCTTGCCGACGCCTGCCCAGTAGCAGTCATGACCCTTAGCCGCAGGTGACTCGCAGCAATATGCTTTGTTTCCGTCTTCACAATACTTCCCATCACCCCACTTGTTCATCTGCAGCAGTACCTCATTGTCATGGCAACGGCCATTACATGGAGGTGCTTCGCCGCGCCAGTGGCACTTGTCGGGATCTGGTGCACTGGAAACTGGACAGCACAGCTGGCTGTCCTCGCCTTTGGACCTGCGCGTGACAGGCTTCGCACCACCGCATGGTTGCTGTTCAATTTTGAAGAAACCAGCCTTACAAGTACCACCACAGTCAGTGACATAGCAATCAGGTACGGTCGCATCGTCCCAAAAGGAAGCGTCATCGGCAGTCATCGCGAGGGCTTTGACAGATTTTGGAGACACGACGGCGTTGAGAGCGTCCAAATCATCCGTGTCTTGATCAATGGCCCAGATGAGTAGTCCGCCGAGGCCTAGCTTGTTCGCAAAGTCGATCTTCGCCTTGAATGTGTCTTTGTCATCATACGACACCCATTGGTCTTGGTTCCAGGTGATGTACTTGACTTGAGCCTCCTTGTCTAAAAGCACAAAAAGCGGTTAGCCTATCTATCACATGTGCTGGTTTCGTCGTGGCTGCTTACCATAGTAAGGACTGATCTTGTGCTGTTTGATCACTTGTTGAATCTCTTTGTATGTCAAAGTTCCTGAGTTGTCGGAACAGGGACCAGGAGATGCTCCGCCCTTGAAATTGCAGCCAGGTCGGTAGCAAGAGGGGTCTGATAACTGGAAACTGCGACCATAGAACCCCAGCCCGAGATTGAGCTTCTCTGGTTTGATGTCGTTGCGCCAGAAAAGATCCAAGGCTAACTTAATCTCGGTCAAGTTCGAATGCCCATATATATGATTGCCGATCGGGTTAGTTGAGTCCCAGATCTAGACACATATGTTAGCATTTGCTCGAAATAAGATGTTGACATGATCGCTGCATCCGAAACCCAGACCAGCTTACAAGCAGCTTGTGGGAAGGGCAATCCCACAAAGGTGTGTCACCTCTTCAGCTCGGCGTCTGACCTTCCGACATACACGATTGCAGAAGCGGGAGGCAAATATTTGGCTTGACTTACTCCATGAAGATCATAGCTCATGACGTTGACGAAGTCGACGTAATCCACAGCTTTCAGATCAAAATGCCTCAGATACCAGAAGCTAGTAGGAACAGTGAAGGAGACAACATAATGCATGAGCTGCTTGTCGTTCTCCTCGTTAAGTTCCTTCAAGAACGTAACAAAGTTCTTGCCGTCTTCAGGCTTACCCCCTCGATCGGTTGCTCCAGGATACTCCCAGTCGAAGTCTACACCGTCAAAGGCGTACTGTCTCATAAAAGCGAATAACTTTTTGATGAACAAGGCGCGGTTCGCAGCGGTGCTGACCATGTCGCTGAAGACCGGCTGAGTTGCGGTGCCGTTATCGTTGAAGGTCCAACCGCCAAGAGCAATGACTGTCTTCAAGCCGGGGTTCGACTTTTTGACATCTGTGAACTGCGAGAATAGATCGGGGCTAAGGTCGTCCATCGGAACCAGATCAAAAGTGCCGGGCGAAATGTAACCGAAGGAAAAGTAGAGATGAGTAAGTGCGCCTGTTGGGATATTCTTGAAGTCCTACGAATAAGATAAGTATGTTGCACTCGCTCTTGGCTGGTGTGACGTACCATGCCTTGACATTTCCTGTCATGTGCCCAAGCTTCGTAGTAACCGATCACAACCTTCTGGACATCGCCGCCAGAGCCACCAGAGCCTGGCTGCTCACAATTGCTTTGGCATTTTGGTTCGTCTTCGGTACCTTTGTCGCAAAACTTCTCGGTCATGCCGCAAAAGCTGTGGGGTGTTAGCTGGTATCATTGAGAATCTTTTGACTAGCATACCCAAATTCTGAACAACAGACATTGAGCGGACATTTGGCACCAGGTATCTTAGCGTCTCTGCCACATTCTGCTTTGGCATCGCAATTTGACCAGCAAACATCGTTGGGACTTTGACCGTTTGTGCCGCAATATTCTTCACCATAGTTACAATATCCGGTAGCCTTTGGGCAGCAGGCTCCGTTCTTGCATGGCTTAGACTCAGAGCATGAATAGTCTTCTTCAGCTCTTGGCTGTAGAGCCCGTCGGGCCAGATGCGGACAAACAGGCGCACGTTCTGTGTGCTTTTCTTTCGCAGAATAGTCGAACGGACTGGACTCAAGTCAGCTGCGGATGTACCGCTTCTAACAGTGTTCATCTACATACTGAGTTGGATTGACGCAAGTTGGTGGCGCGTGAGATCTCTTGTGGTGAAATCGAGCGTGCGACTGATGCGCTGTAGCAGTGATGAGCAGCACACAGAAGACAATGGCCCACCGTGCGAACGCGGAAGTCAATCTTGACATCTCGGCGTCTGATTCCACTGAAAGCAGTAGGAAAGAAACCAAGATCAAGGACTGGAAAAGAGCGATCTCAGAAGCTCCGTGGGAAAATGGACTCTGTCTATCTTACCGGTACCCACAGCTCAGGTACGTTGGCATCAAGGTTTCCATCTGGACCTGCCGTGGATCCAATGGACGCCTGAATATCAGCGGTCATCGTGGCGGCGAGTAGTAGGCGTGCAATTCGCGCCCCTGCATGCATGGCCTGGCCAACGGGCTGAAATTTCCAGATTTGTACTGGCAGAGATGCCGCGGGAAGTTTACCATGCGGCCCAGATATGACATCCCATCTAAATTTGCGCTCTACTGCATTGGCGCCTTCGGGGTCGCTCGCTAAGACATCAAGAAATGATATCAGCTTTTACTTGGGCATTACCTAAGTAGGAAGGACATAAGTCACGCTGACTGGGTGTCAGTTGCCGTCCGGCGGTCTCGACTGCAATGTTTAGTGAGCTATCATGTCTTCAGGTACTTCCGTTATGGGAGCAGTTTTCAGCGCGCAGTGCTGAAACGTAGAGGCCGTTCCCAGCGCCAGACGACCTCAGAAGTCTGTCCTTCTTGCCACAGAAGTGCCGCTCAGGTCAGAATTGCCCAGGGCTGAAGCGCGGTCGTACTATCAAAGCAACCATGACAACCTTGGGGCGGGGAGGAAAATTGAAGCGGTGGAGATGACAAGGACATAACCCCTAAACTAATGCTGAACGTCTGCCGGGCGTAAATATTTGGCACCTTACTGCAGGTGATCTTCCGGCTCCGAGTGGTGCCAAGCTTCATAGTTCGTGCTTGGCATCAGGCCTTCCGTCCGGATTCGGGCCGCGCCCGCCGCATCTTCAGGGCCCGCTTTTTAGCCTGTTACTGAACTGATTTGGGGTCTAACATGTTGCCAATACTCCACAAGACTTACACGACCCACAGCGGCGCCGGATGGATGATGAGAATGGACCCTTGAGATGCAGGTGCCGAGCGATCAGGTGCCCCATGCAGTGCGGCTGGCTGTAGGGCATGCCCAGGTGCTTTCTTGCCCCGGTGTAGAATGCGGTTGAAGCATCCTGCATCGTCGCTCTTGGTTGCAGTCATTCCTGTGAGTACGTCTTTCGTGGACCGTCGCAGACTTCCCACAGGACGATACTGACTCTTACACAAGAATGCGTTCGCATAGTCCCAGAATGTTGCTGCGGCTTTTGCTACCCCTTTGGTATCTCCCATCGACAATTGCGATACCCTTCTTCAGTAACAATACTATCCCATCCAATCTGACCAGTGATTGTGCGACGGCCCTTCTTACAGACGTTGAACAATGTCCTCCTACCGTTGCTACCTTTGCTATTGGATATTACTACCCTCCCTCCGTGCTGGAAAAAGCATGCACAACCGCCTGCGTTACTGCCCTTGAGCAGTACGAAGCAAGCATTGCCACAGCTTGTACCGGGCAAACTTGGACGGCATACGATGAGATTGACGGTGCACCACTGGACATAATTGCCAATGTTATGCGATTCAACCACGATCTTGTTTGCCTCAAGGACGCGGGTCGCTGGTGTAATGTAGTTGCGGTTGCTGCAGCCATGCAAGCAGATCCAGGACGTAGGTAAACCGATACTCCAATCCCAACATTATGCTAACCAGAACAGAGAGCCCAATAGGCTGGGACACCGAGCCACCAAGCGGCGTGCAAGCCTCCGGACCCTGCGATTTGTGTTTCATCAAAAATCTGCAGAAGCAGGCTGGCAGTCCGTACTACGACGGAACTCAGATTCGAGAGAGTTCCTTGTATGAGTCAAAGACATCAAGCTGTGGTGTGACGGGCTACCCGTTGTCCATCTCGTCTTTACCCTTCCCGCAGTGAGCATACATATATATATATATGTTCGCAGCTCCACACTAACTCTATACAGGCTTCCAGTCGCTAGTCCCACACCGACATCGACGATCTGCAGTGGCAAGGAATACGACATCCAGACCGGCGATGACTGCTACAAGATATCCAAATCTCAAGGCATAGGGACTGCCTGGCTGCTTTCAGACAATTCTCTCACTGCCTACTGCGCCAATTTTCCACAAAATGGCAAACTGTGCATCAAGAACACATGCAAAGTCTATACAGTACAGCCTGCCGATACCTGCGAGATCATGGCTAGCTCCAATAATATCACCATCGCGCAGTTGAAGGCCTGGAATCCGGTAGGTGCACAGTGCGCAGATCTCGCTTCTTTATCATTATTCTGACACTCTCAGATCATTAACGCTGGCTGTCACAACTTATACAAGATGAACGGGACTTCTATTTGCGTGTCCAATCCTGGCGTAGCATATGTCACGCCCCCAGCTATGCCTTCTCTGGCGCCAAGCACAGCCGTCAGCGCAGCACCCGTGCCTACCAATGCGAAGGACGAATCGAATCGACAATGTGGGCAGTGGTATAATGTTGAGAGCGGAGACTATTGCAACCTCGTGACACTGAGGTATGCGATAGCACTAGCTGATTTCGCATTTCTGAACCCATCCATCAACGCGAATTGCACCAATCTGCTGCTAGATATCAGCTATTGTGTAGCGCCAGTAGGAGACAGTGAGTGTACTGATACGCTAGATGATCGAAGTTTGCGGCTGACCAACTGAAGTTAACACCTACTCTGGACGACCTGGCTACCATACTCCCGGTCCTTCGGGAGTACCATGTAAGTACTTCACTTGGCACTCTATGCGTCGCATACTGATTGTGACCCTCCAGTCACCAAAGTCACGTTTACGCCCACTAAGCCCGCTACGATAACACCCTCGCCCACGCAGCTGAGCCTTGCGCTTGATACAAGAGACGATTGCTACCAGTATTTCGAGGCATCACAAATGGAAAGCGACATAACAGGAACTCTTTATCGTCACCAATGCGATTTGGCTGCAGATATCTACGGTGTAGAGATGTCCGAACTGCTTACCTGGAATCCCTCACTCGGGAACGACACCGAAGCGCCTACTTGCAGCTTCGAGCCTGGAGTCCGCTATTGTGGAAGGTTCTACTTCGAGCCCCCAAAGGCCGAGCCCGAAGTAGGCCCATCGCTGGAATTTCCGATCAGAGAAGGGTATGATACGAACTGCACTGAGTTCAGGGACGTGTCTAAGGATTTCACTTGCGAGGATGTTCTGGCTTTGTTCGATCTCACCTTGGCTCAATTCTTCAAGATGAATCCGGCCGTAGGCTCAACGTGTGCGAATCTTTGGACCGAAACGGCATATTGCGTCAAGTCGCCCAATGCCCCACCGCCCGCTACGAGCGTCACTTCGACCTCCGTTGCCCCGAGCAGTACAGTTCCACCAGGACCTGGGGCACCAACGCACACTGGACAGCCTGCAAACTGTGTTCGATGGCACATCGTCGAGAAAGGGGATGATTGCTCGATTCTCGCAAACAAATACTTCATCACCTTGGAGCAATTTTATGCCTGGAATCCCGCCGTGTCGAATGATTGCCGTGACAACTTCTGGCAGGGATCGGCATACTGTGTGGGCACTTCAGATTCGATCAGCGTGAGCAGATCGGCTCCCCCGCCGTCGCCTACTCCCAGTCCTTTCGTCATACCAACGCCAAATCAAGCAAACAACGCGATCAAAGAATGCAACAAGGCTGCTCAGGCGCAAGAAGGAGACTGGTGTGCTGTAAGTCCACGTTATCCGGTTCTGCGTCGCTTCAAGACTGACTCTAATCATAGTTGTTTGCTGAACGAAACGGAATCACCGACGCGCAACTATATGCGTGGAATGCAGCCTTGGATAATGGCAATGCTTGTGGCACTTCTTTTTGGAAGGATTACTGGTACTGTGTCGGTGTAGCCGCGTAAAAAGACATGTACAAATGCGATGTGCTACACTCGTCTCTTGTAATGTTGTTCTTGGGGCAACGTTGAGCTGTCTGCGCAGACGATGCGCTTCATGGTAGCCAGAGATCATACCTCATTACGCCTTACATATATATCGGAATGGCTGGTACCGCCAAATGAAGCCTCCCATTTCCATATTTTTATTTCCTCGGACAAGTTTGAAATGACGGTATTCTGTTGGTGTCGGAAGATTCTCGTCGGCCATCGCTTGTTCAGTAGTGATTATCGCACTGAACTGTTGTATATGAAGCCCCGTCTTCTTGAAATGGAATACACGTGCCCTGTGACTATCTTTGGAGGCCTACACGTTAGCATCTTTGAAATCACTCGCCGCGCTTGCGCAACATAACCTTGCATCATCATAGCTTGGTGTGATTGCGCTGCAGCGAACGGGCAGACCGTTAGTCTGTTCCAAGGTTCAGAAACCCTGCTAGCGCCTCGGTGCTCCCGCGTACTTATGTACTCAACAGCGTTCCCGCAACAATGGTGCGCTCACTCCCCTACCTCAGTCGCGTCATGGACAAACTACCACAAGAGCTGATCAACCGCATTGTGTATTTCGCAGATCGGTACCCAGACCAGGAACAGCGGGCTTCCGCGATAGGACAATCTTTCGAGCCCGATAGTTCGCCATCTCAATTTCCTCGCCTCGCGATCCTCAATCGCACTTGGAAGGAAGCAGTTGAGACCATTACATTTCATCGCCTAGGCATCAAAAGCGATGAGGTGGAATTGCTCCAGTCCATCGTAACAGGAAACCGCCGCAACTATCTTTCCTGGATCAGTTTCGAAGCGGAATTGCCAACATATTCGGAAGAAGCATACGAACACAAGGAATCACGACTTGATCAACATGCCAACAACGAGGCATTTACAAAAGCTATAAGCGAACTTTTCACGGTGCTGCGAACCTGGGAAGACAACGGTGTGAAGAATGGAGTGCGGCTTACAATTGCGGGAGCTACGTGCCCGACCGACGCTCGGGAAGTGGATGAGTTCGAGATTGAGCATGGTCTCAGCAGAGATATTCAGTCCGCTCGTTGGGCAGAATCGTACCTGCGCCTTGTTGAACCCGACAATCTACCTACATTGTCTAATCTGCAGCACCTCACTATCGAGCGCACCGGCGTGCGAAGCCTTGCACCAAGCGTTGCACCAGATTTAGCAGTGGCAATGCCAGAGCTCAGGACAGTGGACTGGGAGTTTCCAGACTACGAGGCTGGTTCTGACGCAGGGTCGGATCAGGACTCGTTGGATTCAGACTATGATCCAGAGTGGGAATCGGCGACATCTCCCAAGGCGCGCGGTGAGGCGCGCGCTGAATTTGCTAATAAGCTCTCGCCGACACATTTCCGCTCACTCCATTCTGCCAACATTGTCTTTGTACACTGCACCCCTTTAGATCAGAGGTATACAGTTCCGAGCATTGTGCCAGAAGGCTACACATACGACCCGTTCAGTTCATCAATCCGAACCTTCTCACAATGTCTTACAACCCTTACCCTGAGTGCGCACGTCGACCCTACGCTATTCTGGCCATCAGACGAAAACGCGACGCCACCGTCTTGGCCGCACTTGAAGTCCTTCGACATCACGTTTGACATGGTCGCTCCATCAGGCAAATGGTACTTCACTGGCCCAACACCGGCCGACGATCCCCACGACGACCCCGTGCGCGGCATTGTCGGGAGTGTCGATACGCGCGAGTTCAGCTGGCATGACTTCCGGCAGCACCCCGACCCAGAAACCTTTGATCCTTTTCTCGGCGCGCTCGCAAAAGCCGTTGATTGCATGCCTGTTCTTGAGTCCTTCATGCTTACGTCTGAGATGACGGGTAAGACGGGGAGACTGCACATTTCATATCACGCGCCGGGCCAGAAAGCGGAGTGGGGTAATGAAGGACCGGAGGATGAACAGCACAGGAGAATTTACTACGCTTGTGAGACGGGAGTATGGGTGCCAGAGCCAAAGACCTCTGAAGGGCTGAAACGCGCAGGAATGCAAAAGTATGGCGGGGAGGTTATCGAGCGATACTTGGGAAGCCAGTACTATTGAATGGGATTAGATTGAATACGCACGAAAGAACATACACCCCATTCAAGTGGGGCATCATACACCTATGTCTACAAAGCCCAATTGTTGAAAAGGCTGAGGAGGCCACATTGCCTTGACAACCCACAGAGTGAAGGTCTTACGGTGATGTAGGCTTCAGGGTACCTGTTCAACTTTTCTCTTGAACGGGATGTAAGTATGGACGCGGGTATGGATTTGCTATGTGATGTGGAGCTTGTATCAAGTGTATAATTTGTTTTCTTTCCCATTCCTTCACATACGACCATAGGACACTGAGAATTAGGCTTCCCGTCCGCTCAGCCATATACAAGCAGTGTACCGGCGGATTAGTAGTTAGGTGGGTGACCACTAGCGAATCCCCGCTGTTGTATGTTTTTGCTCTTTTTTGCCCCAGATCTGAAATGGCGACTCTCGAACTTACAGCTCTCTTTTTGCTCGAATGTGGTACGCGGGCGTGTAGTGCGGATCATCACGGTCGGTCAAAGCACACTAATGGAGTTGCGAGTCGAATAAGCTGCGCAGTTGATTTGAGTTTCATGTGTACTCTATGATACATGTTAACTAAGGTTGTGACAAAGTCCTAACGGTGGGTGTGTAGGGCTCGTTTGAACTACATGCGTAGATAGCGCTGTAGGCTGCGGCAAATATGGCAGTAGTGAAGAGCTTTGTTGCGATATATGCCCAAACCAAACGTTGTTTGTTATTGAGGTCGACGTACGCTCGGGCGGCATGTCGTCGCTGTACAGTCGTGGGTTTGAAGACCTCTGCCGTCACGTCCGCACCACCAACGTGCGGGTGTCGTGGAATCGCTAGCTCGTCCTAGAGAAGCAGCTGTCTCGGCTTGGGAGTTTGTGTGGCTATCCATAGAGTAGCTCTTGCTGCATGTGTCCTCAAGTCTCTCCCTTCTTCTCTCCCTGCGCATCGAAGCCGAGGCCCTCTAGTTGGCGTATGAGCTCGTTGATCTTGATGACCTTCTCGAACTGCTCCGGTAGCAGCTTGTCGCCCTTGTCCTTCTTGTCCTTTAAATCCCTGGCCTGCCTCAGCTTCTTGGTGAGCTTCTTCGCTTCCTTTTCCTTCTCAACCTCAGGGTCGACAACCTTCTCAGCCTCGGGCTTCGCGACCTCCTTCTCTTTAATCTCAGCCGGTTTGCCTGCTTCTTTGGGCTCAGCAGAAGCTTCCTTGTCCTCATCTTTCCCATCACCCGCAGCGGCGGCTGCCTTCTTTCTAGCTTCCCTCCGCTTGGCGTTCTTATTCGCAGCTGGACTCGATATGCTAGTGGGCTCCTCACTCTTCACCGCCTCGGCACCTGGCACACCCGCCTTTCCTCTGTTGCGGAAGCCCTCAGCAGTGCGGTTCTTGTAGAGTTCGACATCTTCGGGTGGGCGGTAGCCTGGGCGGACTCGGATTTCTTTGCGCAGGGTGCCGTCGGGACGGACGGATGCGGGGATATGGCGTTCGCCGGATGCGGAAGTGGTGATGCCGGCTTTGGAGATTGCGGGAGTCTCTACTGAAGGCATTGTGTCGGTCGCGCCTGCGGTGAGGTGGAGTGGAGGTAGGGTGCGCCAGAGGATGTCAGGCAGTCGCAACGGGCCGGGGCACACCAATTGTCCAGGTGAGACCTCGCCAGGTCTTTGCAGGCGTCTGCGAGGAGATTTGAGGAGTTATCGGTGCGTGTCGTAGAGGTTGAGCTGGTAGCGGTGGTGGGGTTGGAAACAAAGTTCACGTCAAAGCGGAAGGCACGACGGGCCAATTAGCGCAGCGCAAATCCCCGTGACGCGAGAGCTTGAATCTTGTCGACGAACCTCAGCCTTTGACATCGCCAGTGAAGCACCACCACATCCCTCTCCACCGTCAACCCAGCCCTCTCGACACCTTCAGAATGTCTGGCGTAAGTGAATTGATCGGATAACGTCTTTGAATACCCGCTAATGGTCCCGCGCAGATGATCGGCACCGTCTACAAGCAAGTCACTCCTCGCGCACACCTTCGATCGAACGAGACTAACCATCGCCTGCAGCGCGGTCCTCCGCAGCAACACTACTATGTTGTTCGCCGTCTTCGGCTCCGCCTTCGGTCTCCAACTGTAAGCCACGGCATCCGGAAGAGGGACCTGGGGAAAGGAGAGAGGCTGATAGCAGTACAGGGCGTTTGACACAGGCTCAGAAAAGATCTGGGACGGTCTCAACCGCGGCGTACGTCAGACGGCTATAATAGGAAGGGCATTCGCTAACACAAGTCACAGCGCCAATGGAAGGACATCAAGCAGCGCTACATGGAGGCCGCCGAGGACGACGAGTAGGACATCAGCCATACCTCAGTTCGAACATGAAATAGACACTTTCTTACGGTTCTTTGGAGCGGACACTGTACATTGTGGTGTATACTACAGCATGCGAAATACCAAGGCGCGATGTGACCTACATCCCATGAATGAAGCCCCGTCAACATGACTGCGTTTGATGGTGTGTTATGGAAGTTCTGGCTCGTGACAAAAGGTTGGTACATGTCGAATAGATGATTCTAGCATACAAACAAATCAGGGCTGCATCAAACAGACCATAGGCTGCTACTACTACATGGAGGACCATGGTCAGGCTGTCTCAAACAAGGAACAGAATGAACATGTGCAGTGAATAACTGATGTCTTTCCATGTGCCAGCAAGTGACAGAACACTCCAAGACACTGATTGCCTTTGTCGACCCGCGGGGTTTGCAGTCGGCTGTTTGGTGGCGTCGCGCATGCCTCGGGGGTCCGCGCTGTTTCACGAGATGATGCTCGCAATGACATAGTAGCGCGCATCTTACACCTGCACCTGCTGCTTTCTCTTACCACACCGAGCCTTCCACCAACCCAAGACTCACCCCGGTGGCTGGCCCACGAAACCAGCACTTCGTACTACAAACAACTTCACCGTTGGAGTTTCGTTATTCCCTCCGCCCACCACTCGCGTCCCCCACCATCCCGCCGCGAAAGCTGCACCATGTACATGTCCTTGCACGAGCAAGAACTATGCCGACACCTGCGCGAACTCCCCCGACGACACAACTACCGCTTTGAGCTCGCCGCTGACCGAGAGCTACGCGAGATTCTCTTCCGCTCTCTTGCTGGCCGTCCCGAATTCCTAGCGCACTTCTTCCCCAATGGGCTTCCCACGGATGCGGAGAAGGCCTGGAGTCTGCGCGACGCCCAGGGTGCCGTAGAAGGCGCCGAATACACAGCAGCCGCGAGAGGAAAGCCTTGCGGGCATATATTCAAGAACGGCGAGGCTACATACCGGTGTAAGACGTGCAGCGCCGACGACACCTGCGTGCTGTGCGCCCGCTGCTTTGACGCTTCCGACCATGAGGGGCACCAGGTCTTTGTCAGCGTCTCGCCCGGCAACTCTGGCTGCTGCGACTGCGGAGATGACGAGGCCTGGATACGGCCGGTACACTGCAACATACACTCGATAGACCCTGAGCGCGAGTCCAAGGCGGCAGGCAAGGCGAGAGAGGGTTCTATGCTACCAGACGAACTCGCAGAGACCATTCGCACCACTATTGCACGGACCCTCGACTACCTCATCGACGTCTTCTCCTGCTCCCCGGAGCAACTGCGCCACCCCAAGTCTGAAGAGTCGATCCTCGACGACGAGCGCAAGTCGCGCCTTACCTCACGATGGTACGACCTGGGCGACGAGACAGAGGAATGCGAAGAGTTCTGCCTAGTGCTGTGGAATGATGAGAAACACACGGTCAACGACGTCAGAGATCAGGTCGCTCGTGCGTGCAAACAGAAGCTGGCGTTCGGCCTGGCCAAGGCCTATGAGATCAACGACGTCGGCCGCAGTGCCATAGTCTACAGGACCGACCTGAAAGACCTCCTTCGTATGGCCAAGATTATCGAGGAGATCAAGCTCACTGTCACCATTCGATCCGCGAGAGACACGTTCCGAGAGCAGATGGGTGGTGTACTCATTGAGTGGATACAGGATATCGCAGGCTGCAGTGTCGGCGAGGACAACCAAATACTTCGCCGCACCGTCTGTGAGGAACTCCTCAAGCCCTGGCGCATTGGCAGCGAAGCATCAAACCAGAGTATCGGCAAGAACGGTCTGGATGATCACGAGATGGAAGACAAGGAAGCTGAAATGGATGGCTTCTTCAACGGCATGCTATTACAGCGACGAGCTCGTATCATCCGGGTCCAGCGACAGCGAACCACCGATACCAACGACGACACTACAGCTTCTGACGACGACGATGACGACGATGGCGGGCCTGCAGCAGATACCCAAGATGATATGGACATTGACGAGGTCGGCGCTCAGGACAACGATGGCGACGTGGAGATGGAGGCATACGAAAGCGCAGACGAGGCGCTTGAAGTCTCTGAAGCCACAATGGCAGGCTACCCTGCTCCCCCACCACCGCCACCACCACCTGCACACCCGCAGCGTGCTCGACTCGAGCAGAGTGTCACGCCGGCCGAGTCAGACAGTGAGCCTATGGTTGGCGCACCGTCTCTCAGCCATGCCGAGCCGATACTGCCGGTTCCAGAGACGCCTCATACCCGGTCACTACCACTACGGCCAGCGCGGCCAGCCAAATACTGGTTAGAACGGCCTGAAAGTTACGGTAAGAAGCCTGGAACGCCACCTCACGAAGATCTCTGGCAACGTCTCAGGCTTGATCACTTGATATTGTATGATTTGCGCATGTGGAAGCAATTGCGCATCGGTATCCGCGACGTCTTCATCAGCACCGTCGTCACCATTCCTGAGTTCAAGCGCCTCTTAGGTCTACGCTTTGCCGGCGTCTATACTGCTCTCGCACAACTTTACCTCATTGCCGACCGTGAGCCTGACCACTCCATCATCAACCTTTCTCTGCAGATGTTGACAACTCCGTCTATTACGTCCGAGGTTGTCGAACGTGGCAACTTCCTTACAAACCTCATGGCTATTCTCTACACCTTCTTGACTACCCGTCAGGTCGGCTACCCTTCAAATGTCGACCCCAGAGCAACACTAGCTTTCGAGCAGGGGGCTGTGACTAACCGGCGAATGTATCACTTCTTCCTCGATATGAAGTATCTGTTGGGTTCCGAATTCGTCCAGGAGCGAATTCGCGAAGAGCCGCGGTACCTCTTACAGTTCTTAGACCTCGTAAAGCTTCACCAAGGTATCTGTCCTAATGTTCGCCAAGTGGGCGAGCATCTTGAGTTTGAGTCGGAAGCATGGATCAGCGCTTCTCTCATCACCCGAGAAATCAACAAGTTGTGTAGACACTTTGCCGAATCATTTGCCTGGAGCCGCGGTCAGGACCCGTCCAACATCCAGCGTGCTATTCGTGCAGCCGCCAAGGTAGCCATCATCAATTCTCTAGGCGCTGAACGTAGACGCTTTGACCAGACCGAGCTCAAAGAAGAGACCAGGTTCAAGACGTTGGAGGTCTTTGAATTTGACGCCGAACCCTCTACCTTCTATGGGCCATCGTACAAGGTTGTCGATTACGTTGTCGCGGCACAGCCCATGAGCTTCCATCACGCACTTCATTACACTCTATCATGGCTCATTGATCGAGCGCGGAGCATGGATCGGAACGACATCTTGCGCTTGCTTCTATTCTCCCCCAGCGAACTGCAGATGGACTACAACCCGGCGATGGTGTCCATTCCCGTGCATCAACCTGAGGAATACCTATTAGCCATGTTCGACTTTCCCCTCCGGGTGTGCTCATGGCTAGCTCAGATGCGTGCAGGCATTTGGGTCAGAAACGGCATCACATTGCGACATCAGATGACGCAGTATCGAAGTGTATCACAGAGAGACGTGTCGCACCAGCGAGATATTTTCCTCCTACAGTCTGCACTCATCCTTTGCGATCCGTCGGTCTTCCTAGCGTCAATGATCGACCGATTCGGACTAAACGGATGGATGACTGGCAAGTACGAAGCCAGTCACCATGGGTTCGAGGACAGCCAAGCTATTGACGTGGTCGAGGACTTTGTGCATCTGCTCATCATCATTCTCAGCGAGCGCACATCGTTGATACCTGCGGAGGACAACGATGAGTCTCAATTAGCGTCTATGCGCAAAGACATTGCTCATGTACTGTGCTTCAAGCCACTCTCTTTCTCTGACATGACCGCACGACTGTCAGATCGGATTCAGAATATGGACGAGTTCCCCGCTGTCTTGTCTGAAATGACTAGATTCCGAGCTCCAGAGGGATTATCTGATAGCGGGACTTTCGAACTGAAGGAGGAGTACATCGATTTGGTAGATCCTTACCTTCATCAGTACAACCGCAACCAGAGAGAGGAAGCAGAGAACACATACAAGGCCTACATGGCGAAGAAGACTGGAAAACAAGCTAGCGACATCGTCTATGAGCCGAAGCTCCGCCCGATCCCTTCAGGTCTGTTCCAAGACCTGTCGGCATTCACCAGAACACCGTTGTTTACGCAGATCATATACTACCTACTGGCATATGGGTTGAGGGCAGGATCGGCCACACCGAGCATACCAGCCACTCGCGTGGAAACATACATCCAGTTTGTCTTACAGCTCCTTCTTGTCGCTATCCTCGAGGACAAGAGTGGAGAGCATGGGTGGTCCGAGAAGATGCCCGACTCTTTTGTCACGTCAGTGTTGACCAAGAACGCAAATGTGGGCGTCAAAGACCACCCCACTGTTCTATCGATCCTGAAAACCCTGCAAGACAACGAAGCCTTCAAGGCATGCGAGCCGAAGATAAGCCTGATTCTTCATAGGCTCAAGCAACGCCAACAAGAATCTTTCATCATTGCAGCGGCAGCAATCAACATGCCAGCCGACAGGATGGATACTGCCTCACCCGCACCTCAGGACAAGGAACACAAAGAGCTCAAAAAGAAGCAAGCACTCGACCGACAGGCGAAAGTTATGGCAGCCTTCAAAGAGCAACAGGGCAAGTTCTTGGCCAACCAGGAGTTCGACTGGGGTGAAGATGACTTTAGCGACTTGGAAGATGAGACCGGCGGGCTCGTTGAGCAAGAGAAGACCCTGAAATACCCCTCCGGTACATGCATCTTGTGTCAGGAAGACTGCAACGAGCAGAGACTCTACGGTTCTTTTGGATATATTTCTGAGAGCAGAATCATGCGGCAAACTCCTCTCGAGGATGAAGAGTGGGTGGACGAAGTCGTGCAGACGCCGGCCAGTCTCGATCGATCTGCTGAGGACCTGCGCCCATTCGGTGTGGCCGGCAAGAACCGGCGTACGGTAGAGAAGGTCACTGCTTCAGGTGAGCGCGTTACCAGCGAAAGACAAGAAC